AAAGTTTCATGATACTGCGGGATGAACTGCTTGTGATGGGTTGATCTACGGTGTTGTAGTGAGAGGAAGTACGGGGGCTCGAGCTGCCAAGTCGTTGTCGCTTCCGAGCTCTGGTGTGTTCGGCGTCTGCCGCGTCCGGGAGAGAAAGGATGACAATTTCTTAGGTAAATTACGAGCAGAACAAAGAAAGGAGATAAATACGATACCGAGTGGGATGAATGAGGATAATAGGTCTGTGCTGCTTCCTTGCTCGAGCTCTGACCTTGAACGAGTAGCTGGAACGAGGCTTAGGACTGCAGAGTCTGTGGAGACCCTTTGGGGGAGACTAAGGGGCGTTGTCTGAGGAATTCGATTAGGGATTGTAGCTAGTTCCAGACCAGATTCAGAGGGTGTCGAGGAGGGCAGCAAGTCCCGCGTAGGGCTTGAGTGGTTAGAAGAATCAATTGTTGCAATGAGATGGTAGTTCAAAGACAAGAAAGATGACAATAAGTGGTAAATGTATCTCGCGATGAGTTAGGTATGAATGCGCTCAAAAAGTGATCGTGGTGGTGAACACTGTTGTTGGTGAGAGAGAGAGAGAAAGAGAAAGAGAAAATGTTGCCGAGGTCGACCTGAACTGATGCGCGTCAGTCCCTTTGGCACCTGCTTTTAGAATGTCGTCGTCTTACGAGCAACACACTTCAATTGTTTTATTTTCTATATTAAATGACTACTGAGAAATATTCTACTCGAGTTCGACACGTTGCAACGAGTACATTTTTTTGGTGTGCAGGCTTGTGAAGATAAAGAAAAACACGTTTTGTTCTGGGGAATTTCCTATCAATTCTAGAAAATGACCTTTCGGAACTAGTGGGATTGGTGAGCAAACTATCGCAGATCACGGTTCGCGGAGGAGATACTGTCAGTGAGCTTGCGGTTTGTGCTAGTACCACACTGAGTCATCAACATTTGATGAATTCTGGAGCCAAGCACGTATTCTTACACAATAAAGAGAGCATTGTAACGATTGGCGTGTAACATCAATAAAGCCCTTGATGACCTGAAGATCAAGTCAGGCGGACCGTGCAGCTGATAAGCTATCGGTAGATGAGATAGAAAGAACTAGGCAGCTCTGTACACTGTACAAGGGCAATAGGGATACGCACCAGACTCTTTCCAGTAGAGTCAATGTTGATCACATGTCTGTCTGATAGATGGCCGGCGACCGTATCTACTAATTTTGCAATCATCGCTATGAGCGTAGTGAGGGTGCGGTACCTATCTATTAGTTTAACTTTATGGGCTTGTAGTGCCACATTCCGTAGGAAACGCGCATCTTATAAGTTCATGTCAACCAACCCCGATGGGGGCTGCATTTGAAACCGGAATTCAAGTAACATAGCCGCGTCGCTTTTCAAGCGTTGCCAAGTTCTTAAATTTCAAATATCCAAACCTCAGCCGAAGCGTAACGCGGATTATATATGTTTACTTCTGTCGTCATCCAAAGACAAAACTTGACAAACGTGTGCAACGCCAGTAATTGGGGCAGCCACTCGGCCGAAAAAGGTTTCATTGTAGGAGAACAGAATTGAATAGCTATGCGATTAACTTTTTTATACAAGTCCATTTGGATGAGGGAGAAAAGAAATATGATGATGAATGAATTGGATGTATGAACGGATAAAGTTAAGATTGTAAGCTATATTGTTTGTTCCTTTTATTGTAAGAAGAGAGTGTGGAGTGGATGTCTGAGTCAAAAATAAATCAACCAAGCAGAAATGGAGAGAGATTGACACTTTGATTTTTGGTGAGAGAATAGATAAGAACAGAATGTAGAATGGATAAAAAAAACACGTCCCCTTCAAGGCTGATAAGGGGAATTGAAAAGAAGTAGACAAGTCATACTAACGTAATTCCAGTCCGCAAAGACAAACAAAGTGAACGAAACAACTTGAAACAACGATAGAGCATTTTGAGTAGTGGCGGCTATGGTGACAATTCGGCAATAAAAATTTTGCAATGGAAAGCGAGAGTTGACGTGCGTAATGATGGTTGGCAAATGATGATCCGAGATTTTGAACGATTTCTAAAGACATAGTCGTGACCGGTTAAACAGTCCTTTTTTTGGGAGGGGTCGTAAACTTTGATGAGGAAAATTGCCTTAAGGATGGCATGTTCTGCTGAAGATACGGACTAATTTTTTAGAATGGAAGCCTTGTCGACTGAACGCCAGAACCTCGTTCCCGGTTCAACAAACCACTTCGGCCATATCCGAACCCAGGTGCTTCAGTAGAATGAGCATCCCTGCCGAGATCTTCTACTCGTGCTCGGCCCCTTGTCCGAGCGCGCGACCGGCTTGTAGATGCAGACCTCTCAGCTTCCTGTTCGCTCCTGACAGCAGCATCAAACACCAAGGCAGGGCCTAGGTGCATCTTCGGGAGAGGAGAACTATTCCTGCGCAGCGTGGCACGACCCCTGTGGGGAAAACCAGGTACGGATGACCAGTCAAAAAGCTGTTCAGTGCTTCCCTTTAGATCGGTGCGAGAGCGGAAGGAACGTTCTCCAAGCCTTGGGCTTTCCCCAAAAACTAAGGACGTAGTCCTTGATCGAGAACCAGACGCAGACGGATTCACTGAGCGTCGACTGCCTGGAGAATTGCCTACTTCACGACGACGACCTCTAGGAGTAGTATAGACCGTAGGCGGAAATTGCGCCTGAGAAAGTGTGTTGTCAAGAAGTGTAAGCTTTGGTGTGGGAGGGGAGGGCCGTGCGATCGTGTTGCCAGAAGAAGACAATACGGGAGACGACCGGTTGTCCTTTGAAGAAGTCATCTGCAGCAAAGAAAAACATGCCGGCAGACTTGCCCGGTTACGGCTACGTTTTGAAGTTTTGACTCCTTGGTATTTTGGTTTCATGCGATACCAATCTTGCTCCGAAAGAAGGTCGTTGTCGTCGGTATCCAGTGCGTCTTCGGGCAGAGAGCCGGTACCAAAATAATTTTCATCATCGTCTACCAGAGAATGGGAGTAAATAGGAACACTGCGGGGAATGCCTCGTACAGGCCCGCAAGAGGAATCAGAACACATGCGTCTGTGGAGGTGGGGTACAGTTGAACTGTTGTTGATCCCAGAGGGTCGACGAGCGTAGGAAAGACCTGAGGCTGATTTCGAATTGCCGTCGTAAATGCCATCAAAAACATCATGATCACTTCCGAAGTGGCGTATGGCTTCGTCGTCTTCGTCGTCCGTAAGCAAGGTCCACGAAGCAGATGAGGCGGAAGATGATGGAAGGTGGTAACCACTACGTCCCATGTAACTCTTGAGAGCGGAGCCAAGAGCCGAAGGGACGAGTGGAGGGACTTCGTCGCCGTAAGTACAGCTCATGTTTGGGGAGGAACGTGCACTACTAGAGGAAGATATTGAAGGTGAGGAGATGTCGCTGGTCTGACAATCATCGCTGCAGTAAGCTCGACTAGATAGAAGATGTTTGGCATTGGGAACTACGTTGAAGGAAAGACAAGGAGCATACCCAACGTCCTGCAAAGGCTTCCCACAAACTAAACATATATCCTCAAACATTGTTTTGTATGAGGAGGGGTGGGTAATAACAATGGCGAGAAGAAGGAAGAGGAGAAGACGTTTATATAGGCAGATCGCAGTCAGCTTGGTCGCGACATAATTTAAATTATTTGTGACATAAAATGTATGTGACTATCCCCACAAACTGACTCAATTCAACCCTGAATCGCACGTGACCATCCCTTTACTCTATCACAGTGCACACCGCGTAAAACTAGATCCATCTCTTCCTCGCCTTACTAAAAACAATCATCAACCTCCCCAGTCGACTGGTGTAGTCTCCCTTAAGAGCCCATTCACACGTTTGCTTCCTCGTTCGTCATATGACTCGGTTCCTGTCACTCTCCTTTACGCTAAGGATGAATACAAAACCTGTGGCGTGGCTGCCTTCCACGTTCCAAGTCAGAGCATTTCTTCTTTACTATGCGCCACAATTGCAAAAAACACCTGACCATACTGACTACTACTACGTTGAGTATCCGGCGAAATAAACTGCGCTTTGATTTTCCTTTCTTCCTGATACGGATACAATCATATTGCCATATCTAGAAAGGCGTCAATATGAAATCCGCCAATCTGCTGACGAACGGTATGATGCACATGTGGTGCCATGATGCGCCGTGACTGGCGTGACTACGGACTTTCCGTCAGCGACTCGGCGGCAGTGCATCTTTTCCGAAACCCGCGTTTCTTCTTCACAATCTGTCTCTTGGAATACAACATTGCAAAATCAATCAACTTCAACTCCGATGGCATGTGTAAAGAGAACTCACTTATAAAAAATTTACTAACGTACGCCGCACACTCCATCTATCTTCTATCTTGACTGCCGGAATTGAAACGTATTCGGACTTCGTCCCTTTGTTCCATGTATCACGAACTCACTCACATTTAGCAACAATGGTGTGTTCCAGACTATCTTAAACTTTGATCAGCCTTTACCAGGTACGTTCTGGTACGTTCATGAAGGACTTAGGACAATGGGCGGATCAAACATTTCTTTGACCCTGCTCCAGGCGAACTTGATGGCTTGTGTAGGGAGAACAATGGGATCGGGGAGCTCGATTGATGTCATCACGATTCAAATATTCATGACTCTCAAGGCACGCGCTAAGATATGTAAAGCGCCTACACACGGAATAAGGTATATTGTGAACCATGATGCAGGGAAATACAAATTTCTATACAAATGGTCAAATGCGCACGTTGCATGACAACGCTAGTGATGACTCAATAAACACTTGGACCCACAGATTTCTCACCGTAAATCGAGTCATGAGTCCAAGTTGGCTCCATTCTAACCGGCCAACCAGTCATCAAAAAGTACACTAAAGTACCTTCCCAGACTTTTGCCCTTCATCATCATTATTTATCTTCAATTAGTGATAGCTCTGCAAATTAGTGTAGCAGCAGCTTATTCAGATATTATCAGGTGTATGCTAAGCCGCGTTGGCACAGTGGTTAGCGCATCTCACTTGTATGAGCAATGAGAAGGTCACTCGTTCAACTCGGGTACGTGGCACATCTTTTTGGAGAAAATCAATTTTACATAACAATATGCCATTACATTATTTTGGCATGGTATTGGGTCAGACTGCTAGGGTCCCTTTCTACGTTAGTGCCGGCATTCCTTGGGATTCGGAGCTGGCTACCCAAGTGGCAAGTACTGCCTCGATCAAACCTCAAGATATATTTCCGTTTCATCTGTTTTACGTTTAATGTTCGCCACCCAATGGGTGCATCAAAAAAAAAAACGGAAACAATGAGTCAAAAATGAGGCACTCTTTAACCCTGGACCACGAAAGGAGATTTTTTCGAGGCTCCGAGTCAGTAATTGTTTGCATGTATTTGGGATAAGTAATGTACAAAAAAAATCTCCCTACCGAGCGCGCGCCTACCTATAACAAACTTATAATTCAGTCTCTGGGTTATGTATATCTAACGGGGAATCATGCATATTTCGCGCCCAAAAATTCAACACTTGCAGAAGTCTGAAAAGAGACTTGACAGGTTCGACTTCTTTCTCACAATGTTCGGAAAAGTTACATCTTACGTCGTACATGCGCAGCAGACTACACAATAACTGACACCGAGAATGTGGCTGTGCAGTGGGCTTTGATCACTGTACGAAATTTCTTGAAATTTGATATCCAATTTTATTTGTGCTATCCTCATAACGAGGGGAAAAGGCAAGAAGTTCGGGCAGATAATTGTCAGATAACAACTATGGTTGAGAGAGGGTATTTATTCACTTATAAATATAACCGTTTCAAAAATCCAAGTTTGTTTCAAAATCACAAAGACTTTCAATGGCCAGTCCGAGGGACCTAGGTTAACTAGCACCATCCGGTTTCATTAGTGGAGCCACCGGTAACCGAAGTTCAGGGATATACACCGTTTGTTTTCGGACAAAAAATATTAATCATCACCATGACTGGTGCATTACTGGTGCTGGACCCAGAGATTTCAAGCTTACGAATGAGAATTATCGAACGGCGCCAATAAATTTATTTCTTAGCAAAACGGCAACATCCCAATGTTCCACCGACATTGGACATACATGTCCTCGGGCTAAGGGTCCGACACCAGAACTCAGCACTCAACTTGACCTCGGAGTACTAGAATAAAAATAAAGATAGCAGAGATTGTATTCCGTTTGCCATTTGAATTTGTAAACCCATGGAGAATAAATTTAAAGGAAAATATATAAAATGCAAGAGATTGAATGCTTTGAAATGACTAATTGGAATAGTGTCGTATCTATCACTCCGGAGAAGGAAACGAGCCAATGGTCCATCGTCAAAGGTCACAAGTAACAAGCAAATCGAGCGGGTTAAAGCAACGTGGTTCACAAAGGCAGAAGCCGAGACAAACCCGTTTCATTCTGATTTTATTCGCTTCTTCGATCCCAGTCTATGACCCAATCTAGAGCGATAAGAAAAAGAAACTCGGCGGTTGCGATCGAAGGAAAACGTTGTAGGCATGCAACTTCTTTTTTCAAAGACGACTTCTTTCTCCCCTCCAGTAACAACGATCATCAATGCCACGCTCGTGAAGAAGAAAGGGCAGGGAGCAGAGTAGAAAGGACTTGTTGCCGTTGCCGCTGTTGCTGCGCCATTAAGGATAATTTAAGAAGATCCGATTCACTTGTCCTTCGGTTTCATCGGGCCTCCGTCCAAGATCGTACTAGGCAAAGGTGGAGGGCCTTCTGACCCAATTGAAGAAGAAGCACCCATATCTTTCAACTCACGCAAATGAGGAGCCCCTAAATGGGAGTTCGAGGAAGGTAGTTCAACCTGTTTAAACCCAGCGCCAGCTCCTTGGCCATGGTCAGGTAGTGCAGTTGGCTTTTGGATAGGGGGTGAAGGTGACATCCCTAATGAAATCTGGCTTTCGTTGGTTAAACGATCACGATCCATATTCTGATGGTAGTCTGTGGTAAGTGCAGTCGATCGTGGTTTGTCGGCCGAGGGTGGGACAGGGGGAGGCAAAGTCGTGCTGGCTGGTATAGGTATTGTTTTATCGAAACTGGAGCTCTTGCCAGATAAGAGACCCTTCAGGCGTTGATTTGTACTCAATGTATTACTCCTTGTAGGGGTGGATGGTCCAGCCGTTGAATTCGCCCGGTGAAGGCTCTTCTCTGCAACCACGGTCTCAAGCATCCCATTTGATGTCCCAACGTTCTTAAGCGCAGAGAATTTCTGCTGTAGGTACTTTGCATCTCCGAGCAACCTGATAACAGTAGAGCAAGCATTTCTTCTTAGTCAGATACCAGGAATCCATTCTTACACCAATCAAAAACGTACCTCGCTTTTGCCTCCTGGTCAGGCAGGTCGATTGCGCCATATTCCTCTGATAGTCGGTGATTGATAGCAGCGAATACCTGACTCATTACATACTAGAATTGCGTACAAAAAAAGGGAGGGAAGACGGTCAATTGAATACAGTACAAGACCTTCCTAGGCAAAAGTAAACTTTCTCACCTCTACAACGGATGGCGCAAGATAACGCGATAGCACTTTATGCAACGTCGCAGTCTCCTTGACCAGAATTTCCATGTACTCATTAACACCACCACCTGGTTTTGGCACGGTCCAATCAACAGCCTGTAAAGAAGCACCACCACATGACGAATGGATGAACACGCGGTCTTAATGCAAAAAAAGAGATGAAATTTTTTTACCTTCAAAGCTTTAATATGCGAACTCAGCCTGTCGCCCATGATAGCCACGAGCTTGGAGTGGATCTCGTTTTGATGCTCTTGATAATCCTATAAGAGAGAAGAATCATTCGATCAGTCGATGCAAGCCACTTTGCACGGAGAACAAATAAGACAGACCCTCTTGAGCTTGTCAAATTCTACTAGCATGACAGCTTGCTTCTGACTAAGATGGCGCCGGAACGTTTCTCGAACATATGGAATGAGTTCGAACACGATAGATAGAGATTGAGATGCCAGAGCTAAAAAAAGGTGTTCAGTGAAAAAATAACCATCCAATAATACAAAAAAATCTAACCCAAATGTTTAGCCGTGATATTCTTCAAACCCGCCGACCTCATGGCTCCAGCGCCCAATACAACTTGACAAGTCCTCGAATTAAACGATTTCAAAAACTCGATCACACGACTCATCGCATCAGTTGTTAACATGGACAAATTCACCACCACCCTAAGATAGTCCATGAGCAGTGTCAACACCTCCGCAGTAGCCGACACAGCATAGTATGTTCGATCCTCAATGTGCAGATGTTTTGTTGTTGTTGACGAAATAGTAGGAGCAGTGTTACCATTACTCGAAGATAGCTTGGATAGGGCGTTACTGAAGGATTGGACAATGGCGGATTTGCCATTAGATGTAGTGGGTGTTGGTGACGAGAAAGTGGTGGTGACAGGACTGAATATGGTATCGTCGGTTTTGATGATAAGATCTGGAGGATCTCGCACAGCAGAATCGACAAGCAGATTAGTTATATGTTGTAAGCCCGGTGTAACTTCTGTCGGATCCCAGCGTTCATCTTCGACAAGTTTCGCAGATCTTGATATTCGAATTTGATGGAATGACTGGAGGAAGAGTTTGGCCTAATGTTTATCAGATCGTCGGTCATTTCAATCACTCTCAGGGGATAAAAAACGGTTACCTGACCAACCACTGTCCCTCTGAGACCAACAATCATCCTTCGGGACAGAACCTCGCATTTCACCACAAATGCCCACGAATCATTAAAGAAAACCAGGAAATCAGCTAGCTCCAATGCCGCATGCTGCTCAGCTCTATACGAAATAACTTTAGCCGCTTGGGTATTCGAGAGTTCAGCCGATGACGAAACAATATCCGCCAAATCTTCTTGAAGAGCTGGAATATCAGTTATCTTTTGGCGCAAGTGACCTCTGAAACTTTCATCAGAAAAGAGAAATTTACTCCAAAAAAAAAGCTTTTACTTGAGAGCTTCTAAAACCTCAACGATAATGTTTCCTTGTGCATGTAGACCCTCCACACCGTTCAGTAGACCTCTGTAGATTTTTTGTATCAATAACACGAAATCTAGATGTTGCAAGTTTCGCAAGTGGTTGGCTAGCCCAGCTCTGCTCATAATATTTAGCGAATGTTCTATGTATATAGTAAGAATCACTTTACCGTGCTTCTGACTGCGACAACTCACGACTCCCGTTCTCATCCTCATCCGGTTCAAAAGCAGGCAATATCTAGAAACCTCTATAGTATCATCCTCAATTTTAACAGAAGAATAAAAAAACCAACCTTTTTCACTACGCCTCTCACTTCAATCAATACCACCTCTCTCCATGACAGCATGCCTTCCTTCAATCCTTTAGTCCGTACCAAATTTAACAACAGAGGTTTAAGTCTATCCTTCAAACCCTGATCTGCATCTACATCTGCTTTTCCGACATTGTTGATTCGCACTTCCAAATCGCTGCGGAGAACGGAGACCAGCTCAGAAGAAAGTGAAGCGGCAATTTCCATGGTAAGTACACGGAGATGTGAAGGAAGAGCGGAAAACGAATGAAGTGAAGATAACGCAATGGGGTGTTGATGCGCTAGACGTTTTGTGGACCGAGTTTCTTCTGTTTGCAGCGCTTCCGATGGTTCTTCTTCAGGCGTTGGTGGCAATGAATTTTGACTACCATGGGCGTTGCCGTTCCCGTTGTGTAGGCCAAATGAACCTCTCGGACGTTCTACAGCTGCACTTTCAGGCACAGGTTCTTCGACTTGCCACAGTTTGTCTATTTCCTCGATTATATCCAACGCCTCACCCCATTGTCCTGCGCTGACCAGACCCTTTGCGACGCCTGTCATTTCCACGACGCCACCGATCATCTTGACCCCATCTCGCACTCTACTCAAGTTCGCCATTTTACATTCTTTACGCACCATCTCCAAACCACCCCGCGCGCTATTCTTATCGACCTCCTGCAATTGAATGCGTAGTTTACTGATACGATCCAGACAATGCTCAGACTCCGTTTGCAGGTCGTGTAAATTGGTTAGGGCAGCAAAGAACG